CCCCTCCTGACGAGCTGGTACGCAGACCAGCTCGATGGGAGGCATCCCTCCTAACAAGCTTGTTGTACATAATAGCTTGCTGGGAGGAACCCCTCCCAACGAGCTGGTGTACATACCAGCTCACCGGTGTGGTGGTGAGAGCGCGCCTTGACCGGTTTATTTGGGTGCATGCAGAATGCTTGCGGCTGACGCGGAAAGCATGCGGAGCGGACGCTACACATGCAAGCTGAGGAAAGCGGCGGTGCATTAGTGGAAAGTCTAGCTTTCCGAGGCGCGGGAAAGCAGGGAAAAGTAGGCCAAATGCGCAAGGTTCCAAAAAGCTTGTTGCAGGGAATCCGGGCACTGGCGGACACTGGGGTTCACGGCCGACTGCGGAAAGGGGGTTCAGCGTATACTGCGGAGGGGCTACAAGGAGCGGGGGCACCGAGGGGCGGAAGCGGTGTGGTAAGCCAATCTTGAATAAGAGGCCCACAAAATCAAAGCTTCAAGCACAATATCAAGGCCTCTGAATGACAAGACCCTCAAGGACCAAGGCAAGCCCCTTCTGGATTATTCAACCAACCTGCAACAACCTGCAACACCATGGATGTCACAAGACCAAGCCCCCTGGACAGAAACACTCTGGATTCCAAATTACACTTCTTTATTACATAATCACTTCATGCAGCTTTACATCATCAATCCCCATTCAGCCTTCCACACTTGGCCTCTGCATGTGTTTCATTCTATTCCACTTTCACTCTAGTCTCATTTCCACTTTGGGCCACATTCTATGGTTTCACACTATTCCTCTTGGGTTATTTTCATGTCTCACACTAGTACACATTTGGCTAGTTCATTCATCTCCTTGGTATATTCTTCCTCCCTCATTGTTTGAGGCACATTTCATCCCTGCATGTCTCTGATGTCATTTCCTCCATTCATCTTAGTGCCTACCAATTGGGCCACATTGTTTCAGTTTGATAATTTTCTCTTGTTCCATTTTGTTCCATGGTGTTTCCAACCACAAGCTGGCCACTCCCCAGATTTTGTATATAAGGAGCCTTGTTTTCCCCTCTTCATTTGTTCCCCATCAGATCCTGCCCCAGCAATCCAGATAACTGATCACCCTTCATTAGCCTAGTAGTTGCCCATCAACATTTGGGATACTAGTATTATTCAGACAGAAGACCAGAAGACAGAAGACATACCCATCTCAAGAATTCTCCAAAGCCACACCTTTCCTTAAGAGTCCACACTCTTATCTTTTTCTTGTTATCTTACTCAATCCAGTTACCAGAGAGGCAGCCCATTAAAGCATCTTTCCCTCTCCAGCTCTATTCATCCCAAAGAGTAGTTCCACAGCGGGGTTTGGAGCAAACCAGAGGCGGAAGCGGCGGTGAGAGACCTGCCCATGAGCGGCCGGAGGCGACTGCTGGACCGACAGGCGTCGGCAGGGGTGACGAGCGGA